GCAAAGCACGCCTCGACAGAATCTACATAAACACCTGGATGAAAACTCGCATTAAGTCAGTCGCAATTTAAAACTCATCACTCGCTTTCTCTGATCATTCACTTGTAAACTAGTACTGTCAAAAAAGCAAAAAAAAACTCTCAGCCCAATCTGGTACATGAATATACATATCTTGAAACATAAAGAATACAGAGATATTATTTCTGGGGGAAATGGCGCAAGGAGGAAGGTAACCATGATAATTTAATCACGTGGTGGGAAATCGGAAAGTGGAAAATTAAACTGCTTATTCAGCAATACTGCACATCTATGCACAGTGACTTAAAAAAGAAAAAAAAAGGAACTCGAAGAAGATCCAAGATCTTGAAAAATACATTCACCTGAACAATGCCATACTTAAAGAATACAATGAAAAGAAAAGAACTCTTACACAAATAATCCAAACAGAAAGCAAAGGAGCGGCCGTACGGGCCCGCCATCAACTACTCGAGAACAGTGAAATTCTTCTTCAACCTCAAACGTATAAGAGCAAAATCAAAACCTATCATTCACCTTAAAAAATTCGACGGAACTCTAACAGAAGACCCACATGAAATACGCAATATAATATACAACTTTTATCAATCCTTGTACACCCCAGACACCATTGACGACACATGCCAGACACAACTCTTGAACCAATTACCACAACTCGATCAAACCGACCTTGAAAATCTAGAAATCGAAATTACGTACGACGTATGTTAAGCCAGACCGCTTACCGTGTGAATTTTACCGAACCTTCTGGCCTACCATAGGCACGGACTTACTTAAGGTTCTCATCCAGTCAATTAAAAATGAAAAACTTCCACTGTTTAGCAGAGAAGCAGTCATTTGCTTACACCCAAATATAGGAGACAACACTTTAGTCAAAAACTGGCGACCAATTAGTTTATTAAGCAGCGACTACAAGAGACTTGCAAATACCCTTTCACTACGCCTCCAGTCTTGCCAATACGCCAGGGATGCTCTCTCTCGGGCCAACTATACGTCATCGCATTGGAACCACTTCTAAACAACATAAGAAAACAAATCTCCGCACCAACAATACCCTTTTCGCCTAAAGTCAATGTATACGAAAAAGCATCAAATGCGAAAGTCAACCTCGAAAAATCAGAAGGTTTGTGGTCTGATAGCTGGCGTAGACGCACAGACAACCAACTGGGAATAAAGTGGCGGATCCAGAGGGGGGGCAGGGGGGTCATGCCCCCCCCAAAAAAACGCATGACGATTCATATCATCAGGATTACGCATAGCTTCTCTGCGATTTACGCTCCGTATATTTTAAGCGAAGCTTGGTACCCCCCAATACATTTTGCTGGATCCGCCAGTGT